ACCACATAATGCTGGCTCATATCAAACTCTCCATCAAATCAACCCCTCTGTCTTTTTTAGACTTTAGACTTCCATCTTCTACTTATGTGTTTTTTTTTAGGGAGAGGGAGGGCTAAGCACAGGAATTAAGTTTACCTTTATTATACTTCATCTCATTATTTCTATCCTACCTTTCTAGCCTGTCAAGATGCTTTTGAAGTGTTTTTCATCATCCAGCTTATGAAAACATCCCTCTCAGCTTTGTGTCATTTACAAACATAATCAACTTTCTATTTGTGTCTTTATCCAAGGCATTGATGGAAATGTTGAAAAAACAAAAAAAAAACAACAAACCCCAAACCATCAGAAAATAGAAGAGCCTGCTTCAGGCCTCCTATTATGTTTCTCTTCCTTGACTTAAAGATTTCTTGAGAGACTATTAAATCTGTTGCTGAAAATTATATACGTAAAGTCTATGACATCATTCAGCTAGTAAATGATGAAAAATGGACATAAGTAGGTCTGGTGAAATTTCTACTTTGTGAAGCTTTGCTTGTGGCCCATTATTCTGACCTTCTTCTTTAAGGACACAGACATGTAACTACCCATCCTAAAATCGTGATGTTGGTTGACAGGGATCACATTTTTATTTCTAGAATAAATTTCTTCCATTCCCTTTAGAAAGATCACACTTGTCCTCAATCAGGCACCCTTTCTTTCATCCTTTCCATGTGTCCTTTCTCAAGTGATGCTCATCAAAGAGCTCCTGTGAAGGCAGATTATTTATTTAGATCCGCCTCCTTTTTCTTCTTTCATGAGATCAGTTTCTGATTAAGCAACTGCTTGGGGGCATCGATCTCTAGGTGTCAGAACCTCACTGGAGTACATGAGATAGCTGTTTAAAGTTCAATCCGTCTTTATAGACGAATATATACATAGCTGGTAAACGCATATTGGTTATTTCTCACTAAAATTGAGGTTGCTTTCAAAGGGAAATTTAAAAATACTTCTCGCCAATCCTGCTCCTACTAAATGATCCAATTTTAAGAAAGATTGGCTTGAAGAGGTGGCCATAGCCTCCCCAGGCACCCACATGACTTTTTCGGTCTTCACTGTGACCTTGATTGTGGTAACAGAATTTATCTCCAGGGGTAAGATCGCTTCCTCTGCTTCTCCATCATTCTGAAAGATGCAGGTGTTACCAGGAAGCAGGGCCTAGCTCTTAATGTCACACATCTCTCATTTAAAATCCCAGCTCCACCAATGACTAGCTGCGGGACCCTAAGCCAGTGGTCCAGCTGGTGGGGACTTTGCCCTCATGGGGAACTTTTGGCAATGATTGGAAATACTTTTGGTTGTCACAACTGGGGGGTGGCATTACTTGTACCCAGTTGATAGAGGCCAGGAAAGCTGCTAAACATCCAACAATGGACAGGACAGTCCCATCCTCCTAACAAAGACCTATCTGACCCTAAGTGTTAACAGTGCTGTTTTAAGAAAATAACTTAAGCTTTCCTAGCCTTGGTTCCACCTTCCACACAATGAGAATAATGGTGGTCTAGGGTAGTGTTGTGAGCATGATAGAGAGCACTTCACTTAAAACACATACCACAACGACTGGCACAGAGCCAGCATAAAAAATGCTAACTATAGTCCCGCCGGCATGGCTCAGTGGTTGAGTGTTGACCTATGAACCAGGATGTCATGATTCGATTCCCGGTCAGGGCACAGGTAAGGGCACATGCCCCGGTTGTGGGCTTGATCCCCAGTGGAGGGTGTGCAGGAGGCCGATCAATAGTTCTCTCTCATCATTGATGTTTCTATCTCTCTCTCCCTCTCCCTTCTTCTCTGAAATCACTATATATATTTTAATGGGCAGACCTAAATAGACACTTATGCAGAGAGACATACAAATGGCCAAGAGAGATATGAAAAGATGCTCAATGTCACTAATCATCAGAGAGATGCAAATTAAAATGACAGTGAGACTGCAAATACATTAGTTTAAAAAGAAAAAACACACTTTCTCACTGAGAGATAACAACCTGCAAGTAGGCATTTGTGCCCCAGCTTGTGAGAGAACCCAGGTTCTGAGAGGTTCAAGAACGTGACTGAGGGTTCAATGCTAACAAGAGGCAGAGCCTGGATTCAAACATCATTAGCTGCTGTGGACTGAATGTTTGTGTTCCCCCGAACCCATATGTCATCCTAATCCCCAGAGGATGACATTAGGATGTGGGGCCTTTGGGAGGCAATTAGATCATGAGGGTGGAGCTCTTGTGAATGAAATTAGTGCCCTCATAAGAAGGGAGGTAAGAGAGCTCGCTTTCCCTCTGTCCACCATGTGAGGGTACAATGAGAAGATGGCTGTCTGTCTGCAAACTAGGAAGTAGGTCCTCACCAGACACCTGATCTACTGGCACCTTGATCTTGGACTTCCCAGACTGTGAGCAATTAATTTCTGTTGTTTAAGCCACCCAGCCTATGGTATTCTGTTATAGCAGCCTGACTAAGACACCAGCTCTGCCTGATTTCAGAGCCGACATTCTTTCAGCTTCATGACTACCAAATACTGCTTTGAGAAAAACCAGATGGCAAGACATACGAGAAGTGCACATCTTCTGTATTAACTCTCTTGGTTGTATTAGCAGCAGCATCCATACCCTCACACGCTGTAGTATACTCCTATGATGATATTCATTATGTTTCTTTTCCCTTTTAGTCTTTATTCAACAAATATTTATTTGCTCCTTGTTAGGAGACAGTGGGGTTATGAGACACTGTCTTGGTCTGCAAGGAGTTCATGGGCTGGTGCGGATGAGCCAATCACTGCAAGATGTCATCGTTTGGGGATCCCTGGCAGCATCCTAACTTGCTCTCATGTGTATGATGCCATCTCCATCTTGGGACTGTGGACTTCCTTACAGTTCTTTAAACTACTCATTGCCACACACAGTTAGTTTACGAACACAGTACAATTTCCCTTTGGTGGAGATAGATCCCTGGGTGTTACACTCATATATCTGAGGTTTGTGTTACGCTTTTAGGTTGGCACAGTTTCACAGCACAGTAGATTCTAAGTTACAGAGAACATTGCCTTTATGATGTTACTTGTTTAGGACCTTGAAGGTCTTAGCCATGTTGCATAAGTAATTTTGGCAAAGTATGACTTTCATCATGTGACCTGAAATACTGATGAACCAGAGAGTTTTATTTATAGTGAGGGAATCTAACAATCCCCCAACAGTTCTGTCAAAACTTGACTTTGTGAGCTTCATGAAGCAATACAGTCCATTGTTTTAGGTATGTTCATGGTAGATATTACTCTAGGAGAGTCACAATGTGTATAATGTCTTTATGACTATCCTAGTTTCATAATGTAGAGTTTGATGGAATTAAACATCAATGGCCATGAAGGAACACATCATATTTTCAAATGTTCTTGACTGAGTTGTGGGAATGCATATGGCGGCATTTGAACACTCGCCAATATCTCAGGTTATATGCTTTGTGAATACCAGGGCTCTACCCCACTGAATGGCCACTTCCGGTTCCTAATTAATGACATCACTTGACTTTCAGCTGCAGCCCTTCTGCACCTTGACCCTTAATGACAAGTTCTTTTGATCTGCCCAAGACCACATATTAGTTGAGTAACTTTGGCAAGGTGACCTCCCTTAGTTTTGGTTTCCTCATCTGTAAAATGAGGATAATAACCATAGTTCTTACTTCACTGGATTGTCGGGACATTAAATGTTCATATTTATACACGTAAAATGTTTAGTACGATGCCGAAAACAATGTAGGTGGTCAGTGAAGTTTAGCTATCATTCCTTTTCCTCCTCCACCCACTCACTGAGCCATTGTCCCCACCACCCTTGTCCCATGCCTCCCCTTTTCCTCTGTGGTCTCACATACAACTCTGCTTGCCTGTTATTTTGCCTGGTATGTTCCTGGTTCTAGGTCTGAGGATACTTTTTGTTCTTGGCCCCTCTCTAGCATGAGATGTAGGGCTTATCCCTCAACTAATCACCCTCCTCTGCCCAAGTCTTCTTCTTTTTTTTTCCTTCTCATTTCTAAGTCAACCATCAGAGATTATATTAGGAGCATAGACCAAGGTATCTGACTATCTGGGTTCAAGTTTTGGTTCCACTTATTAAGTAGGGCAAGTTACTTAATTTCTCTGTGCCTCAGTCTTGCCATCTGTAAAATGGAGATAATAATCTTGATTATCTTATGGAATTGCTACAGAGATTAAATGAGTTCATATATTAAAAGTGCTTAAAATGGAGTTGGGCCTGCAATAAGTCCTATATTATTGTGTATATTATTGCTATTTTTATTATAGGTTGGGTCTCCTATTCTCTTATTATCTGTTCCTCCCTCCCAATTTTTTAAAATGAATGCCTTTTATGATTAATACCGTCCTCATCACCACTATCCACTGGACACAGAGCCACCCTCCTCCTTGGCCAGCACATTATCCACCATCTTACTACCATCTTGGGTTCATAATATACATTCTCATAGTAAAAAATCCATTGGCTTAATCATTTAAAAATACCTAGTCAATCATATCAATATTTTAGTCTCGATAGCACTGATTGATAGTAAAGAAAAGGGCAAGGATGACTCATAAAGCCACGATCACACACAGGGGAGGCTGTTCTGTCACAATTTTCCAATTCCTACTGGCCTTCTAATTTGCAAATAGTATCAGGTGAGCTATTCTCAGGAGTGAGAGGAAGAAAGAATCACATTGATATGCTTAGAATTAAAAAAGTTAATTTAAATATTGTTAGCAGGCGGAGGTCTTTAAGAAACCAATGAACATATTCTACATAAAGAAGCCAGGAGCAGACACTTGCTTTTAGTTGTGTTTTAGTGTGTGCCACACACCAAATAACACTGATTCCAACTATCATTGACTTGGACGCCCCAATCACCAACCACAATCTGTTTAAAAGGGGAACTAGCAGCTTTAGAATATAGGACGTGAGCAATTTGCCCCAAATTCTTACCTATAACTTTTCCTAGGAAGAGCGACTTGGGAGAGTTGAACAGTGTGTCAGATGAGCTTGGCAGGTGGTAACTCACAGAAGGATAATGATCCAGCTGCAGGAAGGAAAAAGAGTCATTTTTAGGAGAATGCCACTATCTTGCACTGGACTCAAATCTTCCGGGGGGATGGCATCACTCTTTGAATCTTGGTTTCAAGATACCTTATTTCATTAGAAGTTTGTTCCTTCATAGCTCTTTGAAAGCAATGTGAACTTGGTAAGTGAAGACCCTTTATGAACTGTTCTCCAGTTTATGCACATTTTCTGTGGATAATTTACCTCCTGGATTACGATCCTTGCTCATTTTTTTGGGATAAAATCTGCTTGATCAAATCTCCAGTACTGATCTCTGAGATAGAAAATGCTACATCAATAGCAATAAATTTTGTTTAGGATCCTCTTACTGTTCCACTTTCTTCACCTTTTTGTACTATCAGCTTATAGACCAATATTGATCTTCAGAACATATATATTCAAATATGAATATATATTTTATGTATGACTATATATTCAAATGTTGAGGTTCAGGTTGGGTAAGCATACATAGTTGTCTTGCTTATCAAAATGAGGGTAACTTCTCCTTTCTACCACAGGGCAGGTGAGTTGGCCACAGAGGGAGGGAGGAGGAAGCCAATGGAAACAGCTTACAGTGATGGGGTGGGAGGAATGCACATTTCTCACTACCCTTCTCATGCATAAAGTGCCAATGTGGCTGTCCCAGAATCACAGGACTTGTCCTTTGTGTCCCTGTGTGGCTTTTCCTGCCTTAAAAAACCGATACAGTCTAATTGTGTTTCCCCAACGATGAGCTTCTAGAGCAGTGATGGCGAACCTTTTGAGCTCGGCATGTCAGCATTTTGAAAAACCCTAACCTAACTCTGGTGCCGTGTCACATATAAAAATTTTTTGATATTTGCAACCATAGTAAAACAAAGACTTATATTTTTGATATTTATTTTATATATTTAAATGCCATTTAACAAAGAAAAATCAACCAAAAAAATGAGTTCGCGTGTCACCTCTGACACGCGTGTCATAGGTTCGCCATCACTGTCCTAGAGCCTTCAGTGCTTCTTTGTATCCACCTGTGAAAAACTTCCTTTGTAACCTCTCCTTTTCTCTGAAGAGAGTTTAATACCTGAGGAGGAAAGCATGAGGGAGGGTGAGCATCAGAAGAAAAACCTGGGTCACTGTCCAGCACAGGCATTCCGTGGGAACTGGGTACAAGAAGCAACTTGCTGAAGCTGACAGCACAGACTCCAGGAACTAGATCCACTCCCAGGTCCTGGCTAGCAAGGGCTAAGGTGGGCAAAGATGCAGGAAGCCAGCATGCTCTGGGGACCAGAGGGTGGCTGGCAAGTGGGGGAGGAAGGGAGCTAATCTCTCTCCCTCTGTTTACTAGAAACCTAGAGGTCACTGAGAAAGTCAAGCGAAGAGTCAAAGACTCACACATCTCAGGAATTTGCGGATTCTGACCTGCAGAACTGTAAGTCTTTGTGCCTGGGTATTTGGTAATACTTTAACAAAAGTCCAAAAACTACCATTAAAGCGAACACTGGCATGCTCAACTATAATTTTTTAAAAATTTATCTTTATTGTTGAAAGTAATACAGATGTCCTTGACTATAATTTTGAAAAGTTAAAAAAATAATTTGAATTGCCTCATTAACAAAACATTTTATTCTGGTCAGAAAAATCTTAAATATTTGAAGTTGTTTCGAGCAAGGTGACTCCTTTTTTTCCTCCCCCTGCAAAATATTAGGAGCTGCTTTGGCTCCATCTAGTGGCACCCATAGGTAACTGCTGCTGTCCCTCCACCCATTTCTATTATCTGTTGTCAAAAAAGCTAACTGCAAATGGCCAATGTACTAGTAACTAATAGGCGATTATATAATGCATCACAGTGATGATCTCCCCTTAAGTACTTCTTATAATTTAATCTATCCTGTTAAAAAACTGAAAAATTATACAAACAACATATGCTCATTAAAGAAAAATAATATAGATTTGCAGAAAAAAAAAGCTGGTGATAATGTCAATTTTTAAATGTACTTGTATATTCTTTCAAGTTTTTACAAAAATTGGATGGAACCCAACTACACATATTGCTTTGCATTTGCTTTTCATTATTTAATGATCTATAATAATGAAAGTGTAATATGCTAATCAGACCGGACAGCTGAACGACCTTCCGGACATCATTCCGGACGTCCTTCCAGACGAAGCAGTTAGGGGCAGGCAGGCAGAGTGGTTAGGGGCGATCAGGCAGGCAGGCAGAGTGGTTAGTGGTGATCAGGCAGGCAGGCAGAGTGGTTAGGGGCGATCAGGCAGGCAGGCAGAGTGGTTAGGGGTGATCAGGCAGGCAGGCAGGTGAGCGATTAGGAGCCAGCGGTCCCGGATTATGAGAGGGATCCCGGATTGCGAGAGGGTGCAGGCCGGGGTGAGAGACCCCCCTCTCCCCCGTGCATGAATTTCGTGCACTGGGCCTCTAGTGTATTATAAAACTAATTCTGTGTCAATACATATACAACTAAAGCATCATTTGAAATTATTAATGACCAGTACTCCATGTTATGAATATATAGTCCACAATCTTTAAAAAATACCAAATTTCTATATTTAGACTTTTAGATTTCTTGTGTCTCTGGGCCTAGTACAGTACTGAGCATATTGTAGATCCTCAATAAAAATGTGTTGACATTCGTTAATGTAACTCTTCAAACAATGGGCACAGAAGTGAAGTCAGTCCTCAGGTGTGGTCTGACCCACACTGTGGAAATATCTTCCTTTCCTTGAACTGTTTCTATGGATCCAAACCAGACAGACTTGGCTATTTGGAGGCCATTTTATATTATTTGTACTGAGCTCACAGTAAAATGAAACTCCTAGCTTGTCTCCACAGGGTTACTTCCAGCTCTTCCCCTTCCTCGCTTTATGCAGTTGATGAACCAAAGACTAGAATTTACACATTGATATATATTAAATTTTTGTTTTGCAGCAACAGTTTTTTTGATTCTTGATTCTGTTATCTAACATATCAGTGACACTTTCGGGCTTTTCATTTACCTGTAAATACCCTGAACACACCCAAGTCTTGTGAAGTTATCAATTATAGTTGACATACATCCTTATATTAGTTCGGGTGTATACTCCAGTGACCAGACATTATATAACTTCATAAGTGAGCACCCCAATAAATCCTGCACCCATCCACCACCACACCTAGTTATTAGAATATTATTGACTATATTACCTATGCTGTATTTTATATCCCCATGACTATTCTGTAACAACCAATTTGTATTTTTAATCCCTTCACCTTTTTCACCAATGCCCCCCTCCAATCTGGCAACTAACAAAAAGTTCTTTGTATTTGAATCTGTTTCTGTTCTACTTATTCATTTTATTTGTAGATTCAATTGCCAATAAATCCTGCACCCATCCACCACCACACCTAGTTATTAGAATATTATTGACTATATTACCTATGCTGTATTTTATATGTCGGCTCGCGTGAATTGCGCGTACTCCGCGGGAGCCGTCTTTAACTCGGTTCATATAGATTTGCGGTGGAGTGCGGGAAACGTGTAAACTCGGGCCGATTGTAACTGCGTATTACCAAATATTTGTTTGTAATCCACCCTTTTGGTGGATGGAACAAAACCAAAAGACAGAGCTATCTTATATTTTGGCGGGAAATTCATAAAGAAGACCCTTTAACTTTCACATTATACTGGTTTGGTAGTGATGAACTTCTTTAGGTTTTTTTTTTGGTGTCCATCAATTTTAAATGATACTTTGCAGGAAGAGTAATCTTGGTTGTAGGTCCTTGCTTTTCATCACTTTGAATATTTCTTGCCACACCCTCTGGTCTATAAAGTTTCTTTTGAGAAATCAGGTGATAGTCTTATGGAAGCTCCTTTGTAGGTAATTGACTGCTTTTCTTTTGTTGCTTTTAAGTTTTTCTGTTTGTCTTTAACCTTATGCATTTCAATCACGATGTGGGTTGGTGTGGGCCTCTGTGGGTTCATCTTGTTTGGGACTCTGTTTCCTTCACAAAGTTAGGGAAATTTTCTGTCATTACTTTTTCAATAGGTTTTCAATTTCTTGCTCTCTCTCTTCTCCTAGCAACCCCATGACGTGAATGTTGGTGTACCTGAAGTTGTCCCAGAGGCTCCTTACACTATGTTCAATTTTTTTAGATTTTTTTTTCTTTTTGCTATTCTAATTGGGTGTTTTTGCTTTCTTATATTTCAAATTGCTGATTTGATTCTTGGCTTTACCTACTCTGCTGTTGATTCCCTGTAAATTATTCTTTATTTCAGTTAGTGTATCCTGCATTTCTGACTGGTTCATTTTTATGATGTTGAAGTCCTCATTAAGTTCCTTGAGCATCCTTATAATCAGTATTTTGAATTCTGCATCTAATAGATTGTTTGTCTCCATTTTGTTCAGTTCTTTTTCTGGAGTGTTTTTTTTTTTTTAAATCTTAACCCAAAGATATTTTTCTATTGATCTCCAGAGAGAGTGGAAGGGAGTTGGAGAGTCAGAGAGAGAGAAACTGATGTGAGAGAGACACATGGATTGGCCGCCTCCCACATGTACCCTGACCAGGGCTGGGGCTTGAGCTTGCAACCGAGGTACATGCCCTTGACTGGAATTGAACCTGGGACCCTTTAAAACACAGTCTGATGCTCTATCCACTGAGCCAAACCTGCTAGGGCTGGGCCATGTTTCTTTGTCTCCTCATTTTGGCCGCCTCCCTGTGTTTATTTCTATGTATTAGGTAGAACTGCTATGTCTCCCAGGCAAGGTAGGTGGCCTAATGCAGTAGGTGTTCTATAGGGTCCAGTGGCACAGCCTCCCTGACCACCCCATTTGGGCACTCGAGGTGCACCCCCTGTGTGGCCTGTACACTCTCCTATTGTAATTGAGTCTTGATTGCTGTTGGCACCTCAATGGGAGGGATTTACTCAGGCTGATCAGCTGCAAGGACTGGCTGTAATCACTGACCACCGACCTCTGACCACCTTGGAGGATCAACTTTGCAGGAGC